GAAGTGGGAACGTGAGTGGGGCCCATCTGCCCAGGGGCGTGGGGAGGATTAGCCGGGGTACGGAAGGAAAGGCACTCGGGTGGGGCCTGGCACATCGTCCACGCCCGCCGTTGGGTGACACGGATGCTGGTTAGTTCACACCGTGGCAGGTGCTGTGGGACCATGGTTTATGTGCCTTGTGACTCTCCTGCCCTCCGTGGGGCAGGCTGCGGCCCCATTTACACCGACGGAAACTGTCTCAGGCAGAGGCAGAGCAGGGGGAGGGCTGCACACTGTGGGAGGCCCTCTGTTCCCCTGGGCCCCCCACCCAGGGTGGGAGCTGCTTGCTGAGGGCGGGTCCGAAATAGATGCGTCTGGATGAGCTGCTGCCGCCTAACGAGCTGTCTGGACCATGGGGCCGGACGCATCTGCCGCTTCTGTTAGGAGCACGGATTCTGTGGGTCACACACTTGGAAAGGCCAGAGCGGGGACGACGTCTTGCCTGTGGCGTCTGCGCTTCTGCTGGGAAGACTCGGAGGCTGGGGCCAGAATCCCCTGGAAGCTCCTTCATGTCCCTCTGGCTGTCGGCTGTGACCTCGGCGAAGGCGGGGCAGAACCCCTGGTCTCGTCTCTACCCGGCTGATGGGCTTCCTCACAGGAGGGCATCCCGGAGGTTCTGGGAGCACGAGGCGGAGGCTGGTGTGGATTACGGCCCAGCCTCGAGAGTCACTCAGCACGGAGCCAGCTGAGCCCTACAGTGGACGGTCGCTCGGGCCGGCCCAGACTCACGGCGGAGGGGCCAGGCACTGTCTCTGCAGTCAGGGTGCGCGGACGAGGAGCCTGCGGGCCATGCAGTGGGAGAGCCTGCGGGCCATGCAGTGGGAGAGCCTGCGGGTCGGGTGTGTCTGGTGGCCGCCTGGGAAGGCCCCGTCCACACAGTGTGCGCGTGGCGCAGTGACGTGGTCAGACTCAAGGCTGCTGCGTCTCTCCTGGGTCAGGCACCGGATGGACTCAGGCACTGGTTGGTGTTCAGGGACCTGGTGTGACCCGGGAGTTACAAACACCAGGTGAAGCACCTGCACTGAGGGCCGCCCCCGGCGTCTGCGGCAGAGACGGTGCCACCGCCATTTTTCACTGTGTCTTCTTCCCGCTGTTGGCGTTAGGAACCCCCAAGTGCTTGTAACTGAAAGTGCCTGCGTCCACGTTACACGTCCCTTCTCCGCATCTGAATGTACCACGTTACACGTCCCTTCTCCGCATCTGAATGTACCTGCGTCCACGTTACAGGTCCCTTCTCCACATCTGAATGTACCACGTTACACATCCCTTCTCCGCATCTGAATGTGCCACATTACAGGTCCCTTCTCCGCATCTGAATGTGCCTGCGTCCCTGTTACAGGTCCCTTCTCCACGTGTCCCATGTGACCGCACGTTTTCCGGGCTGGACCCACAGGCTAGAGTATTTGGTGACAGCCTCTGTGGCCTTCAAGGCCGCTCCTGTGAGCCGTGGTCAGGTGGTCCTATCTGGTTGGTTGCACCACGTCTCACAGGCTTCTGTGTCTCCCGGGACTGGACCCAGCACCCTGGGCCCCCAGATCTCCAGCCTGGAGGGGCCCGGAGGCTGTCATGGCACCCACTGCCCTCCGGGACTCTCGGGAGACCCAGGGGATTAGCGGTGAACAGCCAGGAAAGGCCTCCATGCTTGGGCGTTCCCAGGCATGGGCCTGGGAAACCCGGGTGCACAGGGCAAGTCCTCTGTCGTGGCTCCACTCTCGGGTCCCCAGAGCCACTGAGCCAAGCCCCCTGCTTCCCCTGGGCTGGACACTGCTTCCTCGGGCTTCCCACTTCTTCAGGAAGTTCAGCTTCAGGACTGCAGGGTGGAAACAGAATCGGCTTCTCCTCCTTCATCCCCGGGTCCTTCCGGAGGCTCCAGTGCTCCCTACTCAGATCCTAACTCATCACAACCACACGGCAACACACAGCACATCCCTATTAGGAAGAAACTGTGCCCTAAAAAAACATGCTGGAGGCTGAACCCCCGACACTCAGAATGTCGTCTTATTTGGAAATAGGGTCTCTGCCGTGATAACTAGTTAAAAGGGGGTTGTCAGGGTGGGCCCTGTCCAGCGTGACTGGTGCGCTTATAAAGAGGGGAAGACAAGCCCGGAGGGAAGATGATGGCGGACACGGGGGGAAGACGGCAGCCGGTGCCTGGGGCAGCGAACCCGGGAACGCTGGGCAGCCCGCAGCACCTGAAGCTGGAAGGGGTAAGATGGATCCTCCCGGGAGCCTCTGACCGCCTGGCCCTGCCGCTGCCTGGATTTCAGCCTTCCAGACTCCAGAGCAGTGAGAGGATGAATCCCTGTGGCTGTAATCCCCGCAGTCTTTGCTATTTTGTTCCTGCCACCCCCGAGACGAACACGCCCAGGATCTGCGAATCCTGCACTGACCTCCAGGGCAGCACCTCCGTGTTAGAGACGGGGCTGACTAGCGGTGACAGACCCAGACCAGCTGGGGCTTAGCTCCCGCCTGGGTGCCCCGGCTCAGACACACCCGTTCTGCCTCCGTGGGTTCCCTGTGAAGGGGGCTCACTGACCCCGGGCAGGCGCCTGCAGGGCCACGGGGGCAAAGAAACTGCATGGGCAGCACCTGGCTCACGGCAGGGACTTGGCTGCCAGCGAGTCTCACACACCCGGCCTCAAAAGCTTCACAGCAACCCCTGCAGGAAGGGGGTTCTCCAAGCGGCATCCTCGGCACCCCACACCACACACAGCCTTTGAAAGCCTCTGCCACGAGGCCTGCACAGCTCTCATCAAGCCTCCTTTCACGGCTCGCCGAGCCCTGCCTGGTGTGACGAAGCCCTCAACGGAGGCGGTAGATTGGGCCGCGCCATCTCTAAGTCCAAACCCAATTTTATCTCTTTTCAGAATAAAATGATGCGTTGAAGTTTTCTGCACAAAATACTCAGAAAGCAGATGGGGCAGCAGAGCCACGCTGGCGGATGGAGCCCCAGGCTCTCCTCGCGCCCTGGCCTCTCCGGCACAGTGACGGTGCCTGGGGCCTGCTCGGGGCTCTCTGTGACCCTGGCCAGCAACAAGTACCCCCTCCGGTTAAGCTGCAGCCTGAGACCCACGCTGCCCGGCAGGGGCTCTGGGGGCCGCAGGGCTGGTCCTGTGACAAGTGGGGGATTCCCAGGTCCTCCAGGCTCCTAGCGCTCCACGTCTGGAAGCAGTGTCTCCTCACCTCGGTGGGCACAGCTATTTCCCAGCTGCACAGGCCCAACTGCAGGGCCTCCTGTGACCCCTACACCCCCTCGTTCCACCCACAAACCGCACGGAATTCATCCCCCTCGCCCCCGTCTCCCTCCTCCCTGGTGGCCCGGAGCCCAGGTCTCCTGGCTCTGACTCGGGGTGAGGTCTCCAGACCCCCTGCGGTCTGTCCTCTGCCACCCCAGGAATCACAGAGGCCACAGGGGTCCCTGGAGGAGGACGCTGGGCCCACTCCAAGCTCCACCTCCCATTCCACCTGGAGCAGGAGTGGGTGGTACTGAGAAGGCCCCAGGCCCTGCCTGCCCACCGCCTCCATTTCTTCCCTGCCCACTGCGGCTGCACCAGCCTCCGGCCTCTGGAGCAGCCGGGCCCTGAGCACAGTGCCACGAAGCCCCTGCCCCGCAGGGCGAGGGCCAGTCTGAGCTGAGGGGGTCCAGGAGGAGAACGAGCTCGGCCACTCTGGATTCCCTCATTCGTAACTCAGCTTCTTCCAGAACTTTCCATCAGTTCCCTAAGCCACCGTGGGAGGTTTGAAATGGGGAAGAGGGTGGGATGGAGGGGCGGAGGCTCATGGTTCTCCCTCTGGGACAGGCCTCACTGGGTGGCCGGGCGGGCAGCCAGGGGGAGCCTGCTGGGCTGGCCTGGGCCTCCTGTGTTCCTCGAAGGCGGGGGGCATGGAGCTGAGACCTGCCCTCCGCAGGCCCCCAGTTCTACACAGGCCTTCCCAGCTGCACCCCAAGGGCTCCCCAGTACTACACAGGCTGCACCCCAGGTCCCTGCCATGGCTCCTCATGGGGACCCCAGGCACCCCCACCTCCCTCTGCACTCTGCCCTCCACACTGAGCCAAGACAGAGGCACAGAGGACGGCCTGGGGTCACCACCACTGCCCCCGCCCTCGGTGCCGAAGGACCCACTTTTCTAAGGTCCCAATCCATTGTCGCCTGGGGGCAATTCACATAACAGCAACACACAGGGCTTGAAAAATAAAGTAGACGTGGGAAATGCCATCTTTTGTGATTCTACAGAATTTCTCAGCAACATTGCCACCAAACTTCTAGCGAGACTCAGGGTAGCCCCTTCTCTCTGTTCCCAACTCCAGCTCAGGGGCCGTGGGGGCCTTGGCTGCCCAGCTTGGCTTCCAG